AACAAGTAGGTACGAAATTACTCTTATATCTAGGAACAAAATATTTCTTTTTCACAATCTTTTTCCTTTTATGATGACGATGCACAACTTTAGGCTTGATCACTTTCTCTTTAGAAGTTTGGTCACTAGCCTTAACAAAGATTATTTTTCTAGAACTTAGTTTAGAAAACTTAGAGTACCCAAGTCCACTTTTATCGTTAGAAAATCTTTGTTGACTAAGGACCCCTTCTAAACCAATTTGTCCTTTTTTATATCTTTCTAGAACTCTTTTAAGTTGAATAATTTGGAAAGAAAGTGATTCATAATTTTTGCATACAAAGTTTTGTTTTTCTTCACTAATAACCTTTTACTTTTTATTTTTTTCATCTTTTTCCATAGTATTCACTTTTTCTTCTAGAGATGATATTTTTTTCTTTTGTGAAGATATGGTTTTACACAAAACTTTGCATTCATTTAAGAGTTCATTTATAGCCTCTTGATCATCATTATCATAAAGTGAAAAAGAAGTAATAACCCCATCATTTTCGTTGTCGGAGTGATGAGAAGCATTCAATGCCAAGTTTGCATTTTCGTCGCTATCTGATTCGGATGATGAACTTATGTTGTTGTCTTCCCACGCAACATAAGCCTTCTTATTCTTTGTCTTCCCAATCTCTTGTTAAAGACCTTAATACTTCCAGATTTAGTTCATCATTGAAGAATGTCTTACCTAATGCAATCAAATGATTGGTCAAGTGAACAAATCTTTTTTAGAGAGCAACAATGGATTCTCTTGGTAGCATACAAAACATTTCGTATTCTTGACTTAGTGTGTTCAGCCTTGATCTTTTAACCTTGGCGGTTCCTTCACGAGTCTCCACCAAAGTATCCCAGATTTCCTTAGCCGATTTGCTTTGTGAGATTCGGAAGAACTCTTCCATACTTAAAGCGCTCTGTAAAACATTGATAACTTTCTTCTCATTTAGAACTCTCTTTTTTATCATCATCGTCTCATGAAATTTGAATCTTTGGAGTATCGACACCGTTTACAACACTAATTGGTATATGAGGGCCAGTTTCAACAGTTTCCCATATGCCTTCTCCTTGTGCCTCTAGATGTTCTTTCATGCAAATTTTCCAGAAGTCGAAATATTCTCTAGAGAACAGAGGAGGTTTATTACTGCTACCGCTATATTTAAAAATTGGGTTTGCGCTAGTGGAAGCTATCTGGATCTTTTAGGAATAGGTTACCTATAACCTAATCTGATACCAATTGTAAGTAGAGTTGCACCTAAAAGAGGGAGGGGGTGAATTAGGTACTGAAAATATTTTCCTGGTCTTAGTATAGATTTCTTGTTTTACTTTCCTAAAAGTTACTAAGTGTTGAATGCAGTAAAAGCGGAAAGTAAAGAGACACAGCGATGTATCCTGGTTCCCCTTACAACCCGAGATTACTCCAGTCCCCTTTCAACATGAGAGATTTTTCAATATTGTTAGATCCTAAGATAAGACTTCTACCTAGTCTTTCTTATACATACTCTAACCAATCAAAACACCAAGAACAATCCTCTTGGATTTTTCACTAAGTCCAATAAGAACAATCCTCTCAAAATGGACCTCTTGCTTCCAACAATCCTGGACAGTAAGGTTACAACCTTATAAACTTATTTCTAACAATCCTAGAAAAATAAGATGTAATCAAAGAACAAATAATTTTGCTTTGAGTAAGTTGCAACAGTATTCAATTATCAATCTTGCGACTGATCTTCTTCTTGAGATATCAACACTTATATATCAATTACAAGTGTTCAAGAATAGAGGAATGAAACTATGATGAAATAATGAAATTTGAGGTACAGTAGTTTCACTCTTGAAAATTGAGAATTTTTTATACTTGTGAAATTTTAGAATTTGAGAGATGAAATGAAATTTGAATTTTTGCAAGAAGGTTAATCTCAAAGTCTGATATTATGAGGTATATAAATGCCTCTAAACACCTTTTTAAAAGAGTGCAAATGACCAAGAGTTTCCATGGTTCAAGAAGAAATGTGAAAATAAAATTCTGCCAACAAATTCAATTTTCTAGCTCACTATGCCAGTAGTAACCGGTTACCATACGTGGGTAATCGGTTACCAGCCTCAACAAATGAAAATTGAAAGTTTACACAGGGTAATCAATTACCAAGAATATGTAACTGGTTACTCTGAACATGTTTTGCAAAAAACACTTTGAAACAGAGGCAAAAATGCATTGTAATGGTTTTAAAACAATTTTAAAAAGATATGCAAGAATGAGAGATGAATTTGAACACTTGTACAAGCTATATAGAAGCTGAATATTGTACCTTCATATGTGTAGAACTTTGTCTTCATTATTTAATAAGTCTTGACATATTGATTTGACATTGAAGTTCTTCAAGCTTGATTTCTTTGAGATTCTTTCATTCATCCTTGTATGTTGTAGAGTGTGTCATCGTCAAAACCATTTGAGAAGCCATGTCTTCACACGATAGACTTAGAGTATTTGGTTGTTTAAAATATGCTCACATTAGACAATACAAGGTCGAACCTAGAGCTTTGAGATGTATGTTCCTTAGATACCCTGAAGGAGTCAAAGCTTATAGGTTGTTGTGCCTAGAGCTAGGTCATAAGAGGTGTATCACAAGTTGAAATGTAGTTTTCAATGAAGCTGAAATGGCTTTCAAGAAAATTGATGACGTTGGTCGAAGTACCAAGATCTCTGGAGAAGAGCTGGAACAGGGGAAGATTCATGTTGAGGTGGAGCATAATGATGTTGAATTGCATAGCCCAGATGAAGTTGAAAAAGATGCACAAGTTTTTGATGAAGATGAGAAGACTGATAATGATTACCTGCTGGCAAAAGACAGGTTAAGAAGAGTCATCAAGCCACATCAAAGACTTGGTTATGCAGATCTCATATCTTATGCCTTAATCTCTACAAGTGAGGTTCTGGATGGAAAACCTAGAGACTATAAGAAAGTTATGAGGAGTCGAGACAATACTGAATGGATAAAATCCTGGATGATAAGATGAAATATCTTCATGATAATAACACTCTGGTGCTATTGATCAACTGAAGTCTGCCCGCATAGCTCAACAACTTAGAGCTCCAGTGACGAATCTGGGCTAAAATTCTATCCACCAAACTCAGATAATGGTGAGTATAAAGTCTCTTGCTGGTGAGAGGAATCCCCAGGTATCGAAAGGGTAAATCCCCTTCCATAAAAGAAGTAGTAGTAGCCAAAATATCAGTTTTAATCTCATTATCAACTCCTCCAAAGAACACCTTACACTTCCCAGGGTTAACCACTAAACCAGTGGACTGAGAGAACTTCTGTAGCTGAGCCATAAGAAGCTTCACAGACTGGCCATCCCCACGAGTGAAAAGAAGAACATCATCCGCAAAACTGATGTTGATGATTTGCAGATTTTCACATTTAGCATGAAAGTTAAAATCAGGGACCTTGCTTAGCTAGTGCACCAGTCTATGGAAATACTCCATAGCTAAGACAAAAATAAGGGGGGAGATAGGGTCACCTTGTCTCAGGACCCTCTTAGCCCTTATGCTTTTAGTAACTCTGCCTCCAACATTAAGTTTGTAGGACACAGTTGACATTGCCAGCATAATCCACTTGGTGAATTTGTGAGGGAAACCAAATTCCTTGAGGATACATTCTAGGGTATGCCAGTCCAGAGTATCATAGACTTTTTGGATGTCTAGATGCAAAAGACATCTAGGAGTGCCGCCCTTCCTGCTGTAACTTTGGATCAGCTCGTAAGCTAGTAAAATATGCTCATGGATGTTCTGGCCAGGAATGAAAGCATCCTGGCTTTGGTTAATAATACTGGTGAGGACCAAACTCAGTTTTCTAGTCAAGATTTTAGAGATGATTTTGTATACGGTAGTGCAGCAGGAAATAGGTCTGAAATCCTTCACACAATTACCACCATTACCTTTAGGGACCAAAGATACAAGACTGCAATTGACAGCATGATACATCTTGAAGTTGTTGAAGAATTCCATAACAGCAGCAATGGTATCCCTTTTAATAATACTCCAGGATGCTTTGAAAATTTTGGCCCCAAAACCATCAATACCAAGGGCTTTCATGTCACCAATATCATTGAGAGCACTATTAGTTTATGCTTCAGTGATGGGACACTCCAACATACCCCTATGTTCAATAGTAATCTGAGGCCCATCTTTCATGGTAGCAAAGTTGATACCCTCCAGATCACTATTAGAGCTCCCCATGAGGCTGCCATAGAATGATAAAACCTCATTCTCAATTTCCTCAGGCTTGCTAAGGATGTCACCAGCAGCAGTACACAAAATAGAGATGTCACTACGGTTTTGCCTAGTTTTTACTTGGGCATGAAAACCTATTATTACCATCTCCCAATCTGAGCCAACTAATTTTAGATCTTTGTCTAAGAACCTGCTCCTCAATCTCACTCCAATTAACCACCTTAGATGATCTAGTCTTTACTAACTGAATCAACTCAGTATTATCAATGTTATCCCTAAGTTGCACTTGGGCATCCAATAAATTTTGTCTAGCAGCCTTGAGGGAAGAAGTAGCTCCAACCAAAGGATTGCTAAGCTTCTTCACAACATCTTAGATTGTAAGCGGCTTTCTCCACATCACAAACATAGGACTACCTTGAATTAGGGCATTCCAGCTTCTAGCAATGTCTTCACGAAAACCTTCTACCTCAGTGACACAGTTCAAGAACTTGAATTGGAAAGTTATTTGCACAGTAGCCTCAGGACTAGATAGAAACAACAAGGCATGATCAGAAATACCAGGGGTTAGGGTCTTAAGAGACATCTTCATGTATTTTTGAAACCACTCAGTGTTAGCCAAACCATGATCTATTCTAGAGTGGATGATATTGTCACTTTGCCTATTGGACCAAGTATAGTACTCCCCTATAGTATCCATTTCACTGAGATTACTTCTGTTCATCATATCAGTTAAATCTCTGTATTCTTTCACCTACACCATGGATCCCCCTCTTCTATCTATGGTTTGGACTACATTGTTAAAATCTCCAATTAAGAACCACATGCCTTGTTGATTCTGGTGAATATGCTTAATATCACTCCACAATCTCTTTCTTTGGTCCAGCTTGTCTGCTCCATACACTGCTGTAAGCCAAAATTGGAACACCTCATTCATATCATAGACACCATAGTGAATCAATTGCCCAGAGCTAGTAACTTTTCTAATCTTAATCTTAGCATTGTTCCACCAAATCCAGATTCTACCATTCTCATGCTCAGTATAATTGTCCAAAAATCTACCTTTTAGTTTCAACTTGCATCTTATTTTGTCAGCCTTATCATGCTTCACTCTAGTTTCGAGCAAAATACAGATCATAGGGTTAAGAGAACGGAGGCGGGAGCTAACCTCTTTAGTCTTAACCATCTTATTCAGGCCCCTCACATTCCAAGAAACTAACATTGGTTAGTGCTTTGGCTACTCACAGGATCATTCAAAATCCCCTACAACCCAAAACCGTTTTGGCATTGGATAGAACCACCCTCATTGGCAATTCCTTTCCCTTTTTCTTTGGTGTTGCTAGTTATCATCGTCCATACCTTATTCTCAATCTATTGGACACCTTTACTAGATTCAGCTTGTCCTGTTATTACACTTGTATCAGCATTGGTTTGCTCATTTTCCCTTGGTGGTTACTCTTTAACCTTCATCCTACATTCTTTAGCAGACTTAGAAGGCTTGTCACAGTTATGTCCGACCTTGTGGCATCTTTAACAGTATAGTGGTTTTCATTCACACTCAACAGGTTATTTCAGTCGGACACCCTTTTCATCTCTGATCATAATATATGCCTTTAACTCTTGTGTAATGTCAATTTCAACCAGTATTCATGCATAGGAAACCCTAAGCTTGTTTGTCGTGCATTCATCTGTCACCAGCGGTGTTCCTATCGCACTGCCTATTTTACTAAGGCTTCGCGCCCCCCAAAGATGGAGAGGAAGTTGAGGTAGCTTCACCTATAAAGGGATAGTTCTAAGCATATCTTTATTCATGCTGAAATTAGGTTTCCACTCACGCAACATCATTGGCCTATTCCGGATTGAGTAAGGGCCCTTCATCAGAACTAATTCTTTATCTTGGAATGAGTGGAATCTAAGGATGAAGAATACTTCCTCATTATAGAACATATCAGGTAGTTTCACAAAGTTCCAGCTTTTCATCATAAACTGTTTCACCGCATTCATACTTAGGTCTTCACTCAAGACGTACATGATGAGTGCAGATTCCCAAAATTTTACTTCCTTCTCAACATCCTCTTCTTCAATTTGGATTTCCACTTCTCCATCAATAATCTTTGGTGCAACAAATTCCATGGTGAGTCCCTTCGGTGGATTGCGATTTTCATTGATGATATCCACCCAGAGTTTCTGCTTCATTTGGCTAGATTCATTCCCGTTTTTGGCCTCTTCAGTACTTAGGTGACCTAGGGTTTCTGTATCGGTTGCATTTCTTTCTTCCTCCCCCGTCTGGCTACCACAATCCAATGTTTCATTTCGTATTTCATCTTCCACATTGTTTTCCCTCACCGTGACATTCTGACCGGTAATGTCCGTCATAGGAGTGCTTGTTGACGGTGGCACCAATCGTGGCCGCCCATGTCCTCTCCCACGACCCATTATTTTTTATTATATTTATTATTGAATTTAATTGAGAACAACTTTAAATATAATTTATTGTAAATATTTTATCAAGATTCATTTTTTTAATGATGACATTAATTTTTAAGGTAATGCTAACATGTGCCCCTAAGACACAAGTTAAACAAATCCATTTATATTGAAAAATAAATAAATTAAGTGATATATTTTTATTAATATTAATGCACATTTTACAATATAATATTTCTCCATTTATCTCTTAACTTGTGCCCCTAGAGTACAAGTTGTTTTACAATATATGTGTGTGTGTGTGTGTGTGTGTGTGTGTGTGTGTGTGTGTGTGTATATATATATATGTGTGTGTGTGTGTGTGTGTGTGTGTGTGTGTGTGTGTGTGTGTGTGTATTATATTGACAAAAAAAATTTTGATTAATAAATATAATTAATTATTAACATAAATAAAATGATGTATAAAATAATCTATTTCATTTATTTTCAATTTGATTATTTCCTATGTTATATTTTAAAAATATATATATAAATATTTATAATAATATTAATATGTATGTAAATGTTTTATTTTAGTAATATTTTGTTATGGCCCTTTGTGATGCTATTAATATTTGGGATAAGAATATAATATGTGTTATATTTAAAAAAAAAATTGAGTGAAATAAAATAGTATATTTTGAATCGCAATCAGAGAAATCTAAAATAGAATTATATAAGAAAAACAAATCAAGATATAATACCTCAACCTTCTAACACCATTGACTATTATCTAATGGTGAATTAGTGAGATAATTACATGAGTGGGAAATACCTAAAATGCCTTTTTAGTCAACTTTGGACTCAATTGAAAATAAGCATTTTGGTCATTTCACCTTTAAGAAGGGACTTAGTAGTTGTTTTACTAACCCTTCCATTTAATTCATTTTCAAAATTTAGAATTGGGAAGAGAGGGAGAGAACACGTGAAAACAAGGAAGAGATGAGGATGTTACTTCTAATTTCACCATCTTCATCTTGCATGCTTCAAGAACTCATCCAAACCTAACCTTGCTCCTCATCTTCATTTTATTTCAACATCTTCATCATCATCAAAGTGAGTTCCAATAGTTAGGAACTTGAGATAAATTATATGATGTAGGGATTTTATGATTTGGAAAGGGTTTGTGAGAAACTTCATGAAATTATGGTGATAAAAGTGATTCCTAAACTCTAGTATGTTAGGATATTCATATGCAAGTTGTTTTGAGTCATTAAATGGATAAAAAATGACGATTTTTAAGGTTTTTCTCCCCAAAATGTGTTCAGGAACTATTTTGGCTTGCTATAGCTCGCTTGAGGGAAAACAAGGGATTTTGCCAGTGTCTTAGTTTGTTTAGCAAATTGCGTGCACTGCAAAAAATACTTTGCCTCTTGTTTGCGAAAAATACTCTGAATGAGGCATGATCGGAAGCGTTGGAAAGGTCTTTCGATGCTATATTCAATAGTGAAGTACAAACTTGGATATATACCAATAATGAATAAGATAATGATAATATCCCATTATGTATCTCATATGAGTGAGAAGGAATCATGTTGGTGCTAGGATTATTGTTGGGTATTGTCATGAAACGAGTTTAGGCCAATGAATAAGGGTAATAGTGATATGCTACCAGGTATGCCATTATTTGAAATTCGTATGTGTGCTTAATGTGATGCACTAATATTGGCTAATGATTTAATATGATATAAGTATGAATGGCATGATATGTGCAACCATATACGAGTATGTGATAGATTGATATGCATGTGAATGATGTGTGACTTGGATGTGTTTACGCCATATGGCTAGTGGTTGGACCACACTCCTTGCCTATTCGTTTAGGATAACATTCAGAAGAGATGTTAAGATACGCGAGGTGGGCCTTTCTGAGACTAGGTGGTAAGTCGCTTGACATTAACACACCTGAGTTGTCGATAATTGACAAGCAGTGGGGCCCTTTGAGGCGGATACTCACCTAAGAATTGTCCGATTTCATGATTAGTTATCGGTATGGTGGGGTCGTAACGTCAAGTAGGCAATGTCACTTCGTCACTCACCACTAGTGGGCCCGTGTAGCCATTTAGGTATAAATCAATCCGTTACTCACTAGCGCTTTTGCTTGGTGGGCTTGTGCAGTTATGGAGGAATCTTTACACTTGACATTAACACACATGTGTATTGATGATTGATGGGGTCGTGACGCCACTTAGGCAATATCACTTAGTTACTCATCACAGATGGGGTCTTGTAGCCACTTAGGCGTAAATCACTTTGTTCCAGAATTCGTTCTGATGTGCACTCATCTGACTCATCATGTTGTGTGTTTGTGTAAGTTTCTTGACACTAAACACTTGGTTACTCATCGAAGGTGTACTTGCATGGTCTATAGGAAGAAGGACACTACTTCAGTATTCTCTTATACATGAGTACAGATATGCATCTATGTGTGCTTACATTGCTTGATTTGTTTGATGATGGCACTACATTTGGTTATCATGGGATTTCCACTTGTAGAAGATTTGTGATATGTGCTCTGTTGGAGTACCGGACATGAGGTTTTAACCTGGATCGATGGAGGATCTGTATGTATGCATGCACTATGTAAAACAGAGAGGACCTATAAAATAAGGGAACTCATTGAGATTTAGTAATCTCACCCCATGTTAATGATCATCTTTCAGGTTTATAGTTAGATCGAAGAACCACTAGAAGATTTGTCTCAAATGCTTTGGAGATCAGTTGGCTTGGAAATCGTGCCAAATTATGTTTTTGATGTACAGTTTCCTTGAAGACATTCATGTTATATACATTTTTAGCTTATGAGTTTCTGATGCATACGATCTTATTATATTCTTCATAGCTTTTATATGTACTCAGTGCCAATTTTAAAATTACATACATAATATCCTAGACAATTATGTGTGAGGTGTTACACAAAATTGATTTGTCTTATACCTGTGTAGTTTGTGAAAAAGGTGCAGATAACATGTTCTTGGAATCATCAAATTCATAAGTAAACAAAATCAAATTGTACCAAATCATAATGTGCAAGAAAATAATCATACTCTACAAGAAATAATCCGAGCTAAAAGAACAATAATTTCGTTATTATACATATTTTTCAACAATAAAACTCCAAGAATCAAAATATTAGGAAGTGTTAACAATGCTAAACCAGTTATAATCTATTTCAAACTACCTTTTTTGTAGATCTTAATGATTGCGGTTAAGAGAACAAATGCAGGAAGTTTCTAAATGAAATCGTCACGCATAAGTTTTAAATTTATTTTAGAGATATTGTTTGATGAAATTACTTGAAATGAAAGAAGAGAGATTGGGAATGTTGCAACAAAATTGTTTATTCCTGAACATTGTTGTTGTGTGAAGATTTTGAACCATTTCATAATAATGGAGTAATCTAAAATAAAATTATGCAAGAACAACAGTTCAAAATCTATTTGTCAGTAAATGTAGGAAGGAGAAAATCTAACTGTAATAGGAAAAATCTTAAATAAAATTCTACAAGAACAACAATTCAATAGGAAAAATCTTAAATAAAATTCTACAAGAACAACAATTCAAAATCTAGTTGTCAGTAACGGTAGGAAGGAGAAAATCAAATTGTAATCAGAGAAATGTAAAATAGAATTCTGCAAGAAAAGCAATCCAAAATCTATAAAATAGAATTCTGCAAGAAAAGCAATCCAAAATCTATTTTCCAGTAACGATAGAAAGGAGAAAACCAAATTGTAATCAGAGAAATTCAAAATAGAATTATGCAAGAATAACAATCCAAAATTTATTTGTCAATAATGGTAGGAAGGAGAAAATCTAATCATGATTGGAGATATCCAAAATGGAATTTTACAATAACAACTACACACATAACTAGTGATGCAATAGTAATCTAAAATTGAGAAACCAAATAAATCCAATATCAATTTTGCAAGAACAATCACGCTTCCTGAGATATTTACAACAAGAGTAGTGATTGCTTTTATTATTAGGCAGTACTTGAAACCACTTTCTTTAAGATACAAAATTATCAGTTTCTCATTTTCTCTGATTTTTGTCACTTATAGCCTGGTGTTGTAGAATTAGGGAAGGAGAAAGGGGTTTTGATATAAAAAGAGTAAAAAATGACAGATAGAATGTTGAAAAATATTAATGTTTTAATTGGTGATTTAGTAGAAACTATACACATAACCTAATCATATTATGTGAATTATTTTTATAAAAATCAGTACACATAATTTGACATATTAAATTTAATAGATGTAAATAAATGTCGGAGAAATACGAGGTGACTCATACGTTAGGGAGTAGGGTTGGACAATCGGTTGGGTTCGATCGATTTTTGGTCTAAAATTTAAATTCGACGTAAACCACAATTTCATTTTTATGACCCAATTTTAACAGATAAAATTTTAATTTTTGTCAGATTCGATTAAGTCGATTTGGCGGTTAAGTCGGATCGATTTATTATTTATTAGAACAAACCTATAATAATGGTTTTTCTCTTAATTTTTTATAAAAAGATATCAAATTTTTAGAATAGAATTATTTTTTATATTATTAAAAGAAAAATTATTATTTTGGAATAATATTTTAAATATTATTTGACATTAATTTTGATATCAAAATATCATACTTTAAACCATAAACTAAATAATAATCAAAATTTTATATTCCATGTCTGGTATTTTTGGGAGTACACAATGCCATCGTTAAATTATAAAAAATGATAATGTCCTGTAATATTATGTATCTCATTTTTATAGCGAGTTAGTCATATAGTAGTAAAAATAAATAAACTATATATTAATTAAGTTCGATAGATTTCAGTTTTTGTCGGATTCAAAATAAGAATTTGAGCCTGACCAAAACAACCTTATACTATCTAAATTAAACAGAATCAATCCGACATCTAACTCGACCTGATTCATTTGCACAAAAGAGACATCAGATTGGTCAGTTTCAATCGGTCA